CACACAGAGGCCCAGAGGTGGAGGGGATTTAACCCCCCAGTTTTCTCACCAAATGTCTGATGCCACAGCTTGCGGCAGAGGTGACAAGAGGCCAGCTCGGGGCAGGGCTGAGAGCTTGGTCTGGGGCCCAGGCCAGATGGGGCCCATGTGCCCAGCAAGCTGTGCCAGCCCAGCCCATGCCAGCCCAGCCAAATTTGAGTTATATCAGGAGAAGGGATCTGTTCAGAAAATTCACCCATCTTTGCATATTTACATATTCTATTTTGGGGTCTCTTCCTTTTTTTTCTCCCCGTAGCTTCCTAGAAAAGTTCTCGTGATCAATTCCAACTTCACCTCTGCTGAACTGCAAAAGCTCACTCTCAGTTCCATCTCTCCTCTAACTGCCAGCTAGCTCCCCGCAGCTACCCTCTCACAGGCAAGGTTCCTGAGTTCTCTACCCTGCCTGCCTCTGCCCCTACCTCTTCACGCCTCGACTCAGATCACGGGGCTCTGGTTCCACGTTAGCATCTCCCCAAGGTCACCATGGCTCAGGTCGGCAAGCTCAAGGTTAGAAGCCCTGGTTACTAGGTCTCTCCATGGCAGCTCAGAGCACTGACCACGCCCTCCCCACCCCGTTCCTTCCATTCCGGTCTCATGTTCCCAGAGTGGCAGATGCCACCCCCTTCCATGCTCCATGATCACCAGTTGCCATCCCCTGCCTGGTCTAACGCCTTAGCGGGTGTCCCTTCCTGCTACCTGTCCCTGAAAAGCTGAATTCCCTTCTCACGTGATGCAGGCCCAGTCTTCAACTTAAGACTTGCTGGCCGTTATCTCCAGCATAATATCTAACTGTTCTACAAGACATCCCCGCCTGGCTGCTCACAGCACCGTGAGCCCAACACGTCCCAGACTGGCCCTGCACTCCAAATCCCACGCCTAATCCCTCACTCTTGCTGCACCGTCCCCCCCTGCTGCCCCTTCCCCGGCTCATCCCGTCTAGTCTAGCCTGTCTTTCACATCTCACATCCCTCCCCCTCCACCCAGCCCCCCCTGCTGCGGCTCTAGTGGAGGCCCCCACTTGGGTCCCAATCTGCAGGCAGCAAGCCTCCTAGCTGGTCTCCTACTGCCAATCTCACTTCCCACAAATCCAGCCCCCACACAGCTGTCAGGTTACCTCACATGAATCTGTGCTCCCCCACCCCCCGCCTGCCCCTAACTGCCATGCCTAAAGCCACCCAAGGTGCTCTCTGCAGTTGGGATAAAGCCCAAGCTCCTGAGCGGGGGCAGACCCTGCACCACCGCCCAGCCCTCCCCACCCACCAGCCGGGGGCAGCCGTGGGCAGCCGTGGGAAGTGGGCAAGCTCTGGAGTAAGACAGAGACTTGAGTTCCTACGCTGACTTGTCCGAGGCCTCACACCCCTCAACCCGTGTCTGCACCTGATAATGGGGGCTAGTTAAGCACGCTCATCTTTCCCAAGATGCACTAGGAACACGGATTCCTCGGCGTTAATTTGCTTCCACCCGCCCTCCTCCTACACGGCCATGCCGCCTGGTGAGCCTGTGGTGGGTCACACTAAGCGGATCACAGCTTCCTCGCTGCCCCCCCCCGCCCCCAAGCCTGCCCCACGCCCTACCAGTTCACACTCAGCAGCCAGTGACCTCTCTAAAATTCAAGCCTCTCTCTCCCCTGATTCAAAATCTCCTGGGACTCCCCAGCGTCTTTAGAGCAAGTCCAAATTCCTTATGTGGCTTAAAATGATCCAGCCTCTGCCTACCTTAAAATCCACCCTGCCACACTGGGCTACAGGTGCTGTGTTCTTCCCGCACCCGGCCCACTCAAAACTACACCTTCCTGCCCAATTCCTTCTCCCCCTCAGCCCTAGGCCAGACACCACTCTCTCCAGGAAGCTCTCCCTCACACAGGTACCCCTGCCCTAACCCAAGTGAGCTGCCTCCCAAGGCTCTCATCAGACTTTAGCACAAACATCTGTTTTTCTGTCTTCCCAGTGACGTGGCTCTGTGACAGCAAGGACTCCAACAGGTTTACCTGGCACAAAGCAGAGGCTGGATGGACGTTTGTTGAAAAGGTAAAGGAAACAATGGTGAGGAAGGAGTCCTCAGCCCATGGAAAGCCCCGGACCCCATGGGGGCACTTATCAGACTCAACATATATTATTTAAAACATGGCCACAGGAAGCAAAGCCAACTTGCCAAGACCCTGGAGGAAAGAGCTGACAAAGAAGGGAAAGGGAAATCGTGGAAATGGTTCAATTCTGGGAAGCAGTACAACTGGTATTTGGGGGGTCGGTTCCAGGGACAGGACAGAGTTACCCAAACGTCCCACAGCATGGTGGGGGGGCCGTTTAAGGAGATCCAGGGCCTCCAAAGGCAGTCCCCAGGGGCAGAGTATGACTTGCCACAGAATGACACTAGCTCCAGGCAGGCAGTCCCGTAGGGAGAAGGGTTGTGTCAGCCCCATTTGACCAAGTGGTCCCACAAGGATGGAACTGGCCTTTGCCAGCACAAATAAGCCAGAGACACCGGGTACTGAGATAGAGCTTCCTGGTCTTGTTCTCAACCACAAAGAGGCAGCTGGGCTCCTAGTGGACCACTGAGGCATAGAGAAGCCTGGCACCAAGGAACCTGGTGAGCTCCAGGCCTTTTCAGCCAATGCAAACACCTCTCAACATTAATTCTACGACCAAGACGGGAATGTGGGAAGATTTCCTGTTTTCTAGAGGAGGAAAGGAACGATGTGCTAGCCGGGCCATATCTGGAACAGTCGGTCCCCCCAGGTACCTCCTGTGAAGAGAAGCACTGGTAACTGGAAGTCATGCAGGGAGAACAGGATGTGCTGGGCACCAAAGCCAGCATGAGCCACAGGGGCAAGCGACCAGCTGCTCCTCTCCCCAGTTAAGGTCCTGCTAACAGAGGAGAGGGAGCAGCAGGCTTGGCTGGGGGTTCCCTCAGGGTAGAAAGGAGACGGAAGGCCAAATGCTCTGGGGTACAAGGGACAGAGGAGGCAGTCCTCAGGAGCGGGTAGACCTCTTGTCCCAGGAAGTGACAAGCTGTCGCTGAATGACCAGAACTGTGGATGCTGCGGACGGAACACCTGCCAAAGGCACAGGGCAGGAGCAACCTCTGAGCGCCTTTCCAGCGAAACACCATCTGAGGGGAAGGATGTGACAAAGTATTCAAAGCACATGAAACCCACTCGCTCAACTTGGACGTGTCTGCGGCGCAGTAGGGAATGCTGTGCCAAGGGGAACGAGAGCCCAGGCAGATGGAGCAGCAGCTTGGGAGTTGGTGCCCTCTCTTCGAGATGAAAGCTGAGCCCTGTTCGTGTTGGTGTTGTTGTTTAGTATTGTTATTTAACTGCTCTTGTATTTATGCCTTCAGGACAGAGAAGAGGGCCCTGCCTCCTGGCACCACTCTGAGGTCTGGAGTCTGGTGTCATTACGGAACAGGCGGCAGGAGACTGCCTGACGGGACTAGGCCAGGGGAGGGACATGGAATCTTCTGGAAGCTCGTGGGAAGGCAAGCAACCCTACCTGCTCCCACTAAAAATACTCCTGGCCACTCCCCAGCCTGGGGTCATCTCAGGAGCACGTGCCTCTTCTGGTCACAGCGGTCACACAGCAGCCACCCTGGACACTGGGTGGCAGCCTTGCTCCAGCCGTGGCCACGTCCTGAGGATGCCACAACCCCAAGCACCAAAGGGTCTGGGGCTATCACTGAAAATTTCTCCCGAAAGAGAGCATGGGCATCAACAACATCCCATGACACAGGCCTCAAATTTTCCACCCAGGCTCAGAGACAGGGGCGAGCCACGCACCAAGACCCACACACCACACTGCCCGTTGCCTCCACCAGCTCAGGTCAGCCAGAATGGCCACGCAATGGACAGAGCAAAAGGTCAAGCATCAGATGTATTGGGGAGAGGGGAGACGGGGCACCTTCAGGAGTGCCTCCCGTGGGCAGCCACCTCGGCAGTTTGCTGGGGGGTGACAAGGAGCAGGAGTTCATGGGGCTCCTCCGGCAAAGATGAGCTCCAGCGCTGCTTGGATGTCACCGCTGGTGGCCTGCAGGGCCCGCAGGCTCAGCTCGTCGTCCTGGATGCCCATGTCACGCAGCTGCTGCAGCTGAGGCTGCCACTGGCTCTGCAGAAAGACAGGACCAGGCAGACGCTGTTAGCTGGGGTCCTACAGACTCACTCAGCTCTGCTCTCTCAGGCGGACAGAGGAAGGCTGCCTCCTACAGCACAGTCGCCCTGCGAAGTTCCACAGGACACACGGCTTTGAGGGAGACGCCCTGGGGGGCTTGAGGGCTTAGAGAACAAACAAGAAGTTTTCCTAATAAAAAAAGGAAACCGTCAACATAAAGAAAGACAAGGTCGCAGGTTACTGTCTAAATTTCAAAAAATTAAACTTTCTCCCATTCATTGTATAGACAGACAGACACATACACAAACGGGGGGAGGGCGTACATTTTTTAAATGAGCTTTGTTTCTGAGCATGATGTAGAGTGAAAAATTTCACTTATGGTATGCCTGGGTGGCTCAGCGGTTGAGTGTCTGCCTTTGGCTCAGGGTGGGATCCTGGGATCCTGGATCCAGTCCCACATCCGGCTCCCCACAGGGAGCCTGCTTCTCCCTCTACCTGTGTCTCTGCCCCTCTCTCTGTGTCTCTCATGAATAAATAAATAAATATTTACACAAACAAAAAAAGTCTCACTTGTATCCACTCCCATTCTCACCTCTGAGAATCTATTTTACTTTCTTTTTTTTTTTTTTCTTTTTTTTTTTTTTTATGATAGTCACACACAGAGAGAGAGAGAGGCAGAGACACAGGCAGAGGGAGAAGCAGGCTCCATGCACCGGGAGCCTGATGTGGGATTCGATCCCGGGTCTCCAGGATCGCGCCCTGGGCCAAAGGCAGGCGCCACCCAGGGATCCCCTCTATTTTACTTTCTTCAAGAAAATATAAATATATGTTCCTATATCTACCCTTTTCTCAGAACCTCGTTCTACAGGCAGCAACCCCTCCCAACATTTTTCTAGCATGATTATGTGATCTCTCTACGCCACTAAATAAAGAGCTTCTTAATAATTGTACAATATTCCAATTCATGGACATCCTGAAATGTACCATAACCGAGCTGTTTCCAATTTTTTGCCATCACAAACGATGTGGCAGTGACTGTCTCTGTACAATGTCGCTTTCGACACACGCGTACCTCCACCTCCAGGATAAATTCCAAGAAATGGCGCTGCAAGGAATCACACGGCTTGAGAGGCCACCCGCACTTCCTTTCCACGAAGAGCCTATTCCTGTTCTTTGCCCGTTTTTCTATGGAGCTCCTGATCGTAAATTACTAGAATTCTCCATGCTGGGGGTTTTACCCTTTGCCTGGTATGTATTATAGATGTTTTCCCAGTTTGTTGCTAGCCTTCAGTGTTTGCTTGTTTTGTTTGTTGGTTGGGTTTGCTGTGCAGAATCCTTCACTTCTACAAACTCAAAATGTATTACTCTTCATGTGATGGCTCCTGGAATTTGACTCTCAGCTACAAAAGGCCTTTTCTACTATAAGGCTTTAAAGAAATTAACCCACATTTTCTTTTAGTACTTTCAGAGCTTTATTAATATCCCTACCTCATGAAGGAGGAAGTGCACAAGTTAGGGAATAGTATGCTCACCCATGGGAAGGAGAAGGCAGGGGGTGACAACCAAATTCAGAGAGGCGGGCACGCAAGGGTGAGGAGCTGACGGCTTTTCAGAAACCACACAACCCAACTCGGACTCACTTACAGGCCAGGTGGAGCCAGTGAAAGCTCCTGGGCTGGAGAGCAGAGTGAAGAGGCAACTAGCTGGGGAACGTGAAGGAACAACGGAGAAGACCAGCCGCCCATGGGTCCTGCTTCTCTTCCCCTCACTGTCCACCGGGGCCCATGGTTTAGAGATAGTGTTTTACAGGAGCCTGAACTCTTGTCTTTCCCACTTGAGGACTTCGTGACCCTGGACAAGTTCCAGAAACGCCACTCATCCCCAGGTTCAAGTGAGGAGCAAGGACAGCGGAGTGAAGCCGACAGCTTGTGCGCGGGGGCATGCAAACAAATGTTCGTCCCTAGGTCACCCTTCCAGGAAGCAGAGCAGTGATGGTATCACTTCCTGCTTAAAATCTTCCATGGCTCCCTGGTGATTGCAAAATCAAGCCTGGTCTCCTTACCCAAGCGTACAAGACCTTCACACTCAGGCTCCTGCTCCCCTTTCCACTGGCTCCCTCTCAGGATCTCCTCCACGAAAACACCGCCTCCTAGCTTGTAGGCTTGGGTAGGTCATACGTACTCCATGTGGATGCCTCTGCCTGAATACCATCCTCCCACCTAAATGCCCCCTTCCTGACTCGGCTAACCTCTCATCAATTCTTTGACAATCAACTCAAACACCTCTTCCTCAGGTAAGTTTTGCCCAGGCCCTCACCTCAAGCCTAGGCCAGGCTTCTCACACTGTTGCTCCCCAGTTTCAATCTGCTGGTACTCCTTCAGGACTGGGATGATGACGGCTTGTCTCTGCCCCAGGAGCTGAACCTGGGTCTGGTATATATATGTTCAACACTCAGTCCTGCTCGAGGGATGAATGACTGACTCCTTGACTAAAACTGCCCAAAGTATCCAAGCCATGCAGTCAGTGGAGTCAGGCCACAGGCACAGGGTACAGGGTACAGGAGTGGAAGCCACAGGGGCAACTGCTCTTGCTGGAAACATCCTCTCCTGTCACACTGCCACACCTCAGCTTCTCCTAGAACAACGAAGGCCCTCTAGAGAACAGAAAGGAGCTGACTATCCAAAGTAACTAAGAAGTCACCAGTAACTAGGACACCGGGAGGAGGGAAAACTGACCTGAAGGCTGGGCTGCCCAGAGGCCTGCAGGGCATGCTGGAGGGCTTGGCTGAAGAGATCATTGGTGATGGGTGTCCCTGACTGGACACCAGAAGACATTGGTGAGGTCCCTGAGGAATGGCCCTAGAGACAAATCAGTGGTCAGTGCCATCCTCAGAGCTACCTCAATCTTCCAGCATATACCAGCTGTTGTCACAGCAGCCCATCAGGAGTCCCTAGGGTACCCAACGACTGCCTCCCAACAGAGACCTGCATAAGACAGCCACACAGGGATACCTAAAAGCTTGCTGTGGCCAGGAAAGATTCCATCCTCTTCTGCTCCAGAGAAATGGAATCGAGCCCCTGACCTAGCCTAGGACCCCAGCACTGGGAGAGATGGTCTTGGCAGCTAGTGACCATTACCAGGAATGCTTAAGCTGGTGACGGCTGAGCCCTGTCAGGGATGAAGAAGGGCATATTATGTGAGGGGGGCGTTCTTCTGAGCTATGAGGGGAGGAATTGTGGACTATACTGAATCCCCGAGGCTGAACCCTAAGGGCAAGTGAGGGGGGAGGTCGACCAAGCTGCAGTGAGAACCCCACCAGGGCTCCAGGCAAACTTCGGTACAAATCAGATCTAGTATCAAGGTCAGCAAAGATAAGCCCATTGGAGCTTCTCCCCCGGGTCCCGGCCTCCATCTTCAGGGCCTCCCTCCATACCTGGGTGCCAGGAGTTGGCGTGTGAGAGCTGCTCTCCGGAGTGCTGGCCAGGGCGAGGGCGGTGGCCAGCTCACTCTGGGTGATGGGCCGGGGGCCAGCAGCTCCACTGTACCCCAGGGAGGCTGGGCGCGAGCTGGGTGTGCTGCTGGAGGGCGTGGACCTAGAGCTCTGAAGAAGGGAGGCAATCAGGGAAATGGCACTGTGACATTCCCAGGGGGACTCCACCCCCACTACAGGAACTACCCGAATAGCTGCCAGGTTCAGAAGGGAATAGTATGACACAGATTGGCCACCAAAGGGGTTAAGACCCCCTCCCAGCTTGGGTGTGCCAAGTCCCCGCGAGAGGCGTGTTCCTGGCACCATATCCTCTAAATGGCAAGCAGCCAGGCCACTTACTGGGTGAAAGTCGTCTTCATCATCTGAGAGCCCTTCAAACAGGAAGCCACCTGGAGGAGGGAGAACAGATTTTGGGAGGAAGAACAGAAAGGCACAGGCGTAGCTCCAGAATCTCAGCTCAGATACTCTCCAAATTCACATTTTCATTTCTCTCCTTGGAAAATTACAGGACAGATGCACTCCCTGACTCAAGCCGAGAGTTCCCAAGGAACGCCCTCAGCCAGCGCTATACATAGCTGCTGAGGAAAGCAACTCCCGGGGCCTCCGCCGCTCCCTAGGGGGCCCACATTACACCATCCTGGGGCCTACCCGGCATGTCCCGGTATGAGCCGGAGGGCACGCTTCGGGAAGAGGAGTCAGCTCCCGGCAGCGGGGTGCTGCCTGCCACCGAGTGCAGAACCAGGACGATGGCATTGACCAGGGCTGGGTGGGCAGGCACCAACCTGGGACAGAGGCGGGAGGAAACAGAAGGGTGACCAAGAAGGAACGAGCATCCTTGGCATGCCACAAGCTCAGGGTGCCCCTCAGGCCGATTGCACTGCCCGTGCCTGCCTTTAAGTCCCTCAGCACCTCCCACCGCTTGGCTCTGTCCTCGGGCTGCTCTGCCCCCAGCACGGTGGCAAGGTCTGCAGTCCTAGTATCCAGTGCAGATGCTTCATCTTCCCCTCCAGCAAGGCATGACAGGACATGCACAGCCTCGGAGGCTCAGGGGTCCTTCTCTAGGCTTGACTCCATTGCAACTTTCTCCTGGGAAATCTCTGGGGGTCCCTTCTCTTCCCCAGGCTGGGGCTGTTTTCTTCACTTGCAAAACAAGGCAGATGACCTTTATGTCCCTCCTGGCTCTAAACTTTGAGGGACCAAAATGCACCTGCCTCTCTCCCCACCCTAAAATATTTCAAAGGCTCCCCCATGTCTACAGGAAGAGATCTGAACTGAGCCTGGCTGACAAAGCCACCTCCCTCAGAACCTGCTTCGTCCCCACATCTGCACGTGTCCCTGCCTGTGGGCTCTCTCGGTCCACCAGTGGCCCCTGCTCTTTCTCACCTCCTGCCAGAAATTACAGGTGGACTGGGGGATAGTTAGGGTTGGACTCCAAGAGCAGAATCCAGGGCGACAATTAGGCTTTTGGCCTATCTGAGGAGATAGGGGGCCCCGTAAGTAGATGGGGATGCTTACGTATCAAGCATGCTGGGATCCGCAAAGACAGAGAAGAGGTCCTTGTCCTGGAGAACGCCTGAAAGAGAACAGGGCTCACCTCAGAGACTGGAAATCTAGCCAGATCCAGGAGGGTGAAGAGGCTTTAGGCCTCAGAATGACCACTCCACAGGGCCACAGGGCCACAGAGCAGCTCCATGAGAGGGCGGGGAAGAAGTACCCAGAAGTACAAGCCAGGTGTTCACCACCTTGTGCCCCTCTCTCACCACCTCCCCATGCACTGAGGCCACACGCCACCGACCAACACACCAGTCCCTCTTCCCCAAACTTCCGGGTTCATCCAGGTTCATCTGGGGTTCTTCCCTTCGCCGCCTCTTCCCTTCGCCACCCGATGTATGCAGGAAATCTTCCCTGCTGGGGGCTAACTGCTGCCCCCATCTGGCATCCTCCTGTCTCACTTAGGATGGTAGGTAGGTCATGATCTCTCAGGGGCACTGACCGCTTCTGGAGGGCTGGGTATATTGAGAAGCAGCTTGGTCCCCACCCCCGCCCCCCAACAAGGTCAGTGATTCTTGACAAGATGGGAAGGGCCTTCACTTGCTTTCTCCTTCTCCAACAATTCCTGTTTCCTCAAGTTCAGTCCAGCACCAGCACTTACCAAGAGCAATAGGGTCACTGCTGAGGCCTGGGGTGGCCACAATGATCTGATCTAGAGATTCCTTATTGCTGAGCATCTTAAAGACCTGCAGGGGAAATGAGGTGGTGAGGGTGAGGCTGAGGACTCAACTAGCCCAACCAACTCAGCAAACACCCTCGCACCTGCACACACTGCTGAAGGGCTTCCTCCCTCTATGTGCTCACACACACACCACAATGGAGCAAGCAATAACCCCAGGAACCAGAGAGACCTCTCCAGGAACCAGACAGACCTCTCTTTGCTCTAAGATTGTGGCTTACTGGAGGGAAAGCAAACAATTAAAAAAAAAAAAAAAAAAGCAAGACCACAGTAAACCTTCAATTTCTAGTCCTCTCTCTCATCTCCAGTTCTAATGCTTCCAAAATAAAAGCTCTCTTTATAAGCCCAATAGCAAATGTTCCTCTAGGTCCCCAAAGCCCTTTTCAATCTCTAATAAAATTATCATTTTGTATGCATATATATTGGGAAGTTTGCAGCTCTATTAATTTTGCTTATCAATTCTCCTACCAAGAGATATCAGCATATTTTCCCAATGGGGAAATCCAGGTAGGAGCAGTGGGCCTGCAATTCAGCAAAAGTCAAAGAATGAGGTCCTGCAGAAACAGTATGTGGATCCACTGGCTGTAACTATGTTCATCCATGAGGTCAATATCAGGAGAGGTGGTACCATTATCATTAGCGAAAATCAACAATACCTAGCTGAGAGAGCCTCTTTGGAGGATGATAGGGCTCTACTGAGACCCACAGGCATGACAAAAACTCCCCAAGGAACTCTTGGTAGCCATGGCAACAGGCCTCCAGCTCCCATTCTACACCACTCACCAGCGTTCACTCCCTCTCCTGCCACCCTGGCAAGAGTCTCGGGCAAGGGGCCTAGGCATACACTCACCGCCTCCCTGTAGGAGGAGCTGCTGTGCAGGGCAGTGTGCAGCACCCGGAACTCCCTCAGGGCAGCCACTTTGTCCACAGGTTCTGGGGACAAGACACTTGGTTACCTACAACCCAGCCCTGTCCCTGCGGCAGATGCAGAGCATCATCATTTCAGCGTGTTCCCTCAACACCCCACTGAGAATGTGAGTGCCCATTCAGAAAAACCCACTGGTGCTACAGATGTGCAGGCTGCGCTCTTTTAAGCATATCCAGTACATAAAGCCAAGAAATTCCAGTTCCAGCAGAGGTGAATCTTACCACGAGAAAGAGGGCTCTGATCAATATCCTGCGGGAATTCTAGTCTGCGGGAATTCTAGACTTCTTACATTTGGAAAAGGGGAGGGTATAATCAACTCACTAGAGTTTTAGACAGTGATTTAAAATAAGTACCGAAAGCCATCTGAACAATATGGAGCTATACTGACACAATATGCTAAGGGAAAGAAATAGAACACAAAGTTGTACGTATGTTCTCTAGTAAAACTACAGAAAACGTGTCTGTGTGCACGTGGCCCAAGGCTGGAAGGGAACAAAGGGAAGATGAAAAATTCGGGAGGGTGGCAGGATCAAGGCTGATTGTTTCCCTTTTGATATTTTCTTTCAGGCTGTAATATTATTTTGAATTTTAAAAAAATACGTAAGAAGGGCAGAGAAAACACACTGTACCCCTAGGGTTCTTAACAACCTTATATCACGTGCCTGATAGCAAGTGTTTCACTGAGACTCGAAGCTCCCTTCTGATCTTTAGACACTATGATTCATTCACATATATGGGAAAGTTTAGCGATTATCTTACTTCTACTTGGTTACTTTACTATTTAGGACATCAGCCCATTTCATAGGTGAAGAAATTTGGGTAAAAGGAGAGGGAGTAGGTAGGAAGCTCAGGCTGGATCACACTTTTAAGTGTGGTTATCCTCCCTTAGGACAGCTACTTGGGATTATACACACTGTGTACTGCCAAGTCCAGGCAACAGTCCCAAAGCAAGGTGAGAATGGCACCCCGGGGCCTGGGGTGGCAACCATGTCCTTACCTATACTTCTAATCAGGACAATGGTATCTTCCAAAAAATATTCATCTTAAGTGAATTCCCAATTTATTCATTCAACAAACACGTGCTAAGTAATTTATCCCATGCCTGGTTTTGGGAGAGGCACAGGAAGGCAAAAAATAGAGTCCCTGCCACAACAAGGAACTCCTGGGACAGGAGTCAAAGCCAGACTAGATCAAATCCACAAACACACAATGACAAAACAGCATGCTGAGGACCCCAGAAGAGATGTGGACCCCAGTTAGGGCACTAGGAATGGGGGGTGGGGGGGGCAGACAGCCATCATGGAGGGGCAAGCCAGGACAGAGGCGTTGTCTCCCAAGGAAGACCTTCTGAGAGGGTATTTAAGGCAAAGCAGACGTTTACTAGTAGGATAAAGTCCTAGGCTTAAGTGAGAACATGTGCAAAGTCATGGGGGAATAAAACAATGAAGTGCTTTGATAGAACAGCAAACTGGTTATTGTGGCCGGAGCTCAAGATCCCCATAGCCGCTGGCTAAGTGAGATCCTGAAAAGATTTGTACCTGCCACAGGGATCCAGGTGGGAAGAGAGGGACTGACAGGTTTTCCTCCTACAGGCGCTAATCTAGTGGGAGATCAAGAAATGTGCTTCCTCTAAGAGCACTCAAGGATAAAATATCCAAAATGCCATCATGATACGTTTCTTTTCAGATCTGAGTTTATTTTCACCCACAATAAAACGTGCCTTTGTTTCAAAAATAAATCTCCAGGCCAAATGGAGGAGGAAAAGGGACTCTTTATAGCTTAAACCAGGAGTCAGCTAAGAGTTATGGTTGTCACTACATCTCTAAGCTAATCTCAGTCTCACTCTTTGGAAGTGGAAGGCAGCCGGCCCAGTGGAAAGAATGTGGGCTCCAGAGCCAGGAAAACTTGATTCATATCCCAGTTCTTGCATTCACTTTCTAGGTAGGTGACCTTGAATAAATACCTTTTGTAACTCCTTTTCTTCATCTATAAAATGCTAATACAGTCATCTGGCCTGCAGGTCTAATGATTAAATGCGATATCGAAGAGAAACAATCTGGCTTGAAGAAGCAACAAATGTTACTTTCCTTCTGGCTTGCCCTCCAGCCAAAGACCAGAGGGGCACACTGCAGTGGATCAAAGTGGGTTTACTGCTCTGTAGAGAGGATGCATGCCATGGAAAGTGTGGGCATCCCAAGAAGATGCTGTTAGAGAAGACTTATAGGATTTGGGCTTTGGCTGTGATCGGGGAGGGGGAGTTTAAAGAAGCAGGGTTTTGCTCTAGGTTGAATGCTGTCAGGGAGTGGAAGTGACTTTATGACGGGATATCTTAATAACTGTTACCTAGAAGGAAGGAAATCTAGAGCAAAGCCAAAGCTGTAACTGGTAAAGATGGAGCAGTCACTCATAATAGCCGGAGACAGGGATATTTGGTCATTTTTGTGATTTGGACAATGTCCAGGGTTTTGTCTCTGTTCAGAAATGAGAGGGATCTTATTTTTGTCTTGATCCATTACTGCCTCAGAGCATGTGACCTTATAGATGTTGGTGATCTATCAAACTTCATGTTTCAAGGCTTACCTGAGGGCCAGGCCAACCCCTTGAATGTTAGAGACTGCCTTTCTTTTTTTCTCACTTCCCAATAGTGGACAAAAAAAGATCTTTTTTGTCCTTTATGTTTAGAATTGAAAAGACGGGAAATTTCAAGCTGATAACCAATCACAGCAATCATGAACGTACATAAATATAACCAACTGCCAGTTTCACAAAGCTTATCTGTTTTATACAGCTTAGCTTTATCCTTGGGGAAACTTTTTTTTTTTTTTTAATTTTTATTTATTTATGATAGTCACATAGAATGAGAGAGAGAGAGAGGCAGAGACACAGGCAGAGGGATAAACAGGCTCCATGCACCGGGAGCCCGACGTGGGATTCGATCCCGGGTCTCCAGGATCGCGCCCTGGGCCAAAGGCAGGCGCCAAACCGCTGCGCCACCCAGGGATCCCTTGGGGAAACTTTTTAAACACAGATGTAAAACTTACACTATGAATTCCAAGCCGCACCTTTTATAAATAAATAAAAAGGCATTTGTTTTGTAAGGTTTTGGAAGTTTTCTCCCAGAGCTACTTTAATATTGTTCAGATATTTTCAAGCTTCAGGAAAATACATTACCAGTATAGCAGGAATGACCTAACTGAACAAATCACCGCCTAGGGCCATTTCTGGGAAGATTTGCTAACAAGAGGACAAACTGCATCATTACAGGAACACCAGGAGTTTTCAGTTTTTTTCTAATGAGAACAATAACAACAAAAAGATACAAAGTTCACTGAGAAATCAACTGTTAATCTAAAGAAGTTCAAATAGACACTCACTCCCTACCCCACTAGGAAACAGTGGGTAATGAACTTAAAAAAGTAGAGTAACAGGGCAGCCCGGGTGGCTCAGTGGTTTAGCGCCGCCTTCAGCCCAGGGCCTGATCCTGGGGTCCTGGGGATCAAGTCCCACATCGCGCTCCCTGCATGGAGCCTGCTTCTCCCTCTGCCTGTGTCTCTGCCTCTCTCTCTCTCATGAATAAAAAAAAAATATTAAAAAAAAAAAAAGTAGAGGAACAAACCCCCTTCCCTTAGCGGTGTTGATAGCAAGTAGATCAAATCGCACTCTATTGCCAATGGAAGATTAATTCAATAAGTAATACAGATATCCTCCATCACCATCTCACTTTTTGTTCTACCCAGGCCATGCCTCCAAACACACAGACCCTTTTCTTGCAGATATTACAGAAACTCTGTCTATCTCAGGGCCCTCCTCACTCACCTGGTTTCTGATCAGGCTCGGGCCAGGACTTCCGCAGAACATGGACTGTGGACCCAGGTTGAATGCCGTAGAAGTCAAGGGTCTGGTCATCTTTAAGCTTCCGGCCACAGTATATCAAATCTAAAAAGAGAACGGTCCACTTATATTTTGCTCCTCAAAACAATGTGGATGGCTTCTGCCTCATAAGAAACTTATCTCAATGGGACAGATAGCCGGAGTGCTTTAAAAAGTACTCTTATTTAATAAATACATTTCAATAAAAATCATTAGCGAAAAAAAAATCATTAGCGTGTACAAAGTCATAAAATACACAGTCTATGCACGGGAAACCTCCAGAGCTTAACATCCGGGAGACTGCTCGATTTAAATAAATGAGAAAGGGCAGCCCGGGTGGCTCAGCGGTTTAGCGCCGCCTTCAGCCCAGGGCCTGATCCTGGACACCCGGGATCGAGTCCCACGTTGGGCTCCTTGCGTGGAGCCTGCTTCTCCCTCTGCCTGTGTCTCTGCCTCTCTCTCTGTGTCCTCATGAATAAATAATCAAATAAATAAATAAATAAGAAAATGCAACAACAAAAAAAGGATGAACCAACTGGATCCCTCAGCTATCATAAATTATGTTTATCATTTAATTCTTTCTTCCTCCACCTAGAATACCCTTGCCAAAAAAAAAAAAAAAAAATACCCTTGCCATTCTCTTTTCCCTTTTTACTGCCTTCTCTCTAACCAATCAAGCAAACAAAAATCCTTCCAATCATCCCTCAAAACCCATCTCGAATACTACATACTGGGGGCCTCCCCCAAAGATGAGCTCCTCCTTCCCTAGCCCACCCTAAATTCCTGCTCTTTCATGTCATTGTTAAGGAACTCCGTGATAAAGAAGCTCCATATGATGCACAACCGAAAGGGCAACCCGCAGTTTTATTACTTGGCTTATGTTCCTCTTCACCCAACGACACTCACTTCCCTGGACACGGTTAATGTGGTGGAGGCAACAGACCCCAAACTCTTAGTCTACCCTTGTAATTCCAGAAGTGTCCTCCCCAGAAAGAGGTCAGAATAGCATCCCATCCCCAGTCCACAGCGACTCACCAATCAGCTCAGGGTCTGGAACAGACTCCTGGAGTTTGCCAGCAATGAGCTGCTTCAGAAATGAAATACTGTAGCCCCCCAGTGAGTATTCACCCAACTCTGACTCTGGCAACTGGAGAATGGACTTTGGGGCAAGTGGCTGGTCAGCCAGCTTCACCGCCAGGTGCCAGTCTGAGAGAGACATCCTCTCTCTGTCGCGCTCTCTCTTTCTCCCTGTAAAGGAACAAAGCCTGAGTGGTTAAAGGGCAGACCACCACCCTACCCCTCCCTACCCCACCCTCACCCCCACCCAGGGGTTGAATGAACACAAATTCAGTGTGACACTGCTGGAGAAAAACACAGGACGCAACCTCAGGCCAGAACCAGAATCTGTGGAGTCCTCCCTCTCCTTACTCATCCTATGAGAAACAGCACAAGACTTCAGTTTTCTAGGTCTCAGTTCCTTCAATCTTTAAAGTGGACATAAAAACCCCATCTCACCTAATAGGAAATGTTGTGAGGTTCAAACGAGATCATCCAACCCTCTCCCTATGTATGCTCCTTATTGCCAATTTTCTTCATCAATTCTTTTCTTACATTTTTTAAAAAAAATTTTATTGGAGTTCAATTTGCCAACATGTAGCATAACACCCAGTGCTCATCCCACCAAGTGCCCCCTTCAGTGCCCATCACCCAGTCACCCCAACCTTCCTGCCCACCTCCCCTTCCACTACCCCTTGTTAATTTCCAGAGTTAGGTGTCTCTTTCTTACGTGATATATATATATATATATATATATTTTAATTGGAGTTCAATTTGCTTCTTCCCCAATTCTGTATAACAAGTTCCCTGCCTCTTGCCTCTCTCCCTGTCCAATATAGACGCTGCCCCCCAACCCATCACTTTAGTGTTTTCTACTCAAGCGTTTGCATTCCTTTCAAGCGTACAATACAGCGACTCACCAATTTACAGCACTCCCTGCTCATCCTGTAAGTGTCCTCTCAAGCCCCATCACCTACTTCTCCCATCCTCCACCCCCTATCCGCCCCCCCCCCCCCGCAGCTCCCTCCTGGAACCATCTGTTAGCTCTGCAGACTCCTACCTGGATCACCTTCAAATACAACCTCCTCCGTCCCGTCTCCCTTCCCTCTGACGTTCCCACACCCCCCTTTGTAAGCAAACGCTTGCAAATACTTATTTAATGCCCAACCCCCCACCCCATTCCCATTTTGGGAGGCCCTGCCGTGAAAGCAAAGAATAGAATTTCTGCCTCTTCGTCCCAGTGTTTGGCCGATGTGTCCAGAAAAATGAATCAGAGACTCCTGCGGGTGGGAGACCCTCCTAGGGCAGGGCAGGCCGTGGTCAGAATCATGACCCCGTATCTCACTTGCTCCTCCCAGCTGCTCCCTGAAGGGCCTTATCACGCACAGTACAGACCAGGGCACCGAAACTCAGCAAGAAGAAGCCCCTGGCCCAAGGTTACGGCCAGCCAGCAGCGGGGCAGGGACGCGGTGTCGCAGGCGACGACCCCGCCGCCCCCACGGGGGCTGCTAACCAGTGGACGCTCGTCGGGCCCGCGCGGCCCGGAGCCCCCAGCACCCTCACCCGTCCCGCGGAAGGAACCCGGCCGCAGAGCCGCCGGTGTAAACACGCTCCGGTCCACTCGCCGGAAACCGGATGTCCCGCGATGCATTCTGGGAGTTGCAGTCTTTCTGCGGCGGCCCCGCCCCTCCCGAGGCGCCGGCCGCCTACTCGGCTTCCGGTCAACCCACGCGGGGGGCGTGGCCTCCGGGCCGCTTGAAATTTCCCGCGCGGAGACTCCACCGCTGGGCTCCCCAGGAGTCCCGAGAAACTGCGTATTTTGGATGCACTGTAAGAATTGCATTGTAAAAAGAAAAAAAAAAAAAGAATTGCATTGTGTTTGCACGGAAGTTAGGATGAGCGCTCAAATGTGGAAGAAGGGGCAGCCCGGGTGGCCCAGCGGTTTAGCGCCGCCTTCAGCCCAGGGTCTGGTCCTGGAGACCCGGGATCGAGTCCCGCGTCGGGCTCCCTGCGTGGAGCCGGCTTCTCCCTCTGCCTGTGTCTCTGCCTCTCTCTCTGTCATAAATAAGTAAGTAAACAAATAAATAAACAGATAGGTAGATAAATATAAATATAAATAAATAAGTATAAATAAATAATAAATAAATTAAAAATTAAAAATAATAAATAAAATGATAATAAATAAATATAAATAAATGAATAATAAACACGTAATAAGTAAATAAAATAAATAAATAATACATAAATATAAATAAGAATAAGTAAAATAAATAAAAATAAATAAATAAAAATAAAAATAAATAGTAAATAAACTGAAGAAGATATCAAGCCTTTAAGAGTAAGACGTGATGAAAAAAGAACAGGCATATTTGAGAAGAACCAAAAATAACTTTTAGAAATAGGTATCGTCTCTGAAATTAAGAATTGCACAAATGTAGGTCCTTGTCAAGAATGTGTATTATGAATATCTTCCCAGTGGTTGGCTTGCTCTTTCACATCGGTGTTTTGTTTTTTGGTTTTTTAGATTTTACATATTTATTCATGAGAGACATAGAGAGAGAGAGAGAGGCAGAGACACAGGTAGAGGCAAAAGCAGGCTCCTCACAGGAGCCCCATGCGGGACTCAATCCTGGGACTCCAGGATCATGCCCTGGGTCAAAGGCAGACGCTCACTTGCTGAGCCACCCAGGTGTCCCAAGCCTTTTCAACTTGAGGCTGAGTCCTTTTAACATACAGTCCTGGAAGTTTTTGATGGTTTCCATACTATGTCATGACAAGAGTTCTAGACTCATCTTGTACAATTCCTGCCCCAAACCCAAGAACAAGCCATTTCTTCAAGAAGCTCAAATGGTTGTTAGTGGGAAATTATATTGCAAGATCCCAATCAGCACCTAGAGATGCTTAGTGCTACTAGATTACTCATTATTTCTAAGGTGCTTTGGTGGTCAGAGATAGAAAGAGATCTAGATCTTTATAGAGATAAAAAGTTTATATGGTTCCTTCAAATTCAAGGCTGCAGGGGGTTTTCGTAATCTTTTCTGTGTTGCATGTTTATTTCCTGTCTTCCACACTGAGATTCTTAGTTCTCAAGAACATAGGGGTATCTCTTTTCCTCCCCGGCTGCTTGAAGCTCGGCTGCCATCATGAACGACACAGTAACTATCCAAACCAGGAAGTTCATGACCAACCGACTACTTCAGCGGAAACAGATGCTCATTGATGTTCCTCACCCCGGGAAGGCAACAGTACCTAAGACAGAAATTCGGGAAAAACTAGCCAAAATGTACAAGATCACACCAGATGTCATATTTGTATTTGGATTCAGAACCCATTCTGGTGGTGGCAAGACAACTGGCTTTGGCATGATTTATGATTCCTTGGATTATGCAAAGAAAAATGAACCCAAACATAGAATTGCAAGACATGGCCTGTATGAGAAGAAAAAGACATCAAGAAAACAGCGCAAAGAATGCAAAAACAGAATGAAGAAAGTCAGGGGGACTGCAAAAGCCAATGTTGGTGCTGGCAAAAAGTGAGCTGGAGATTGGACAACAGAAGGAGTAAAGATTCTGCAGTGGCTTTATCTGTGGTGATTCTGCAGATTTTTCATGAGAGGATTAATAAACTAAGAATGTTAAAAAAAACAGAACATAGGCATAAGCCATAATTACTCATTTACTTTCGCCCACATTATATAAATAACACTCTCCAAAATAAGAGTAGAATCATCACCAATATAATTGTTAAGAAAGGTATAAGGAGTGTCTGGCTGACTCAGTTGAAGAGCATGTGACTCTTGATCTCCAAGTCATGAATTCGATCTCCACATTGGGTATAGAGATTGCTTAAATAAATGAATAACTTTTGAAATTAGGGACGCCTGGGTGGCTCAGCATTGAGGGGGCATGATCCTCGGGTCCCAGGATTGAGTCCCACATCGGGCTCCCTGCAGGGAGCCTGCTTCTCCCTCTGCCTGTGTCTCTGCCTCTCTCTCTCTCTCTCTGTCTCTCATGAATAAATAAAATATTTTTTAAAAATAAAAATAATTTAAAAATTAAAAAACTTTTAAAATTAAAAAGAGGAGAAAAATTAAAAATTTTCTTTTGCATATACTTTTCACTCTACCCCTTCCACTCCTCTCCACTTCAACAGACATATTATGTATTATCTGAATCTATACCATTAAATACTTTCTTCCTTTTAATACCTTTTAAAAATATGTTTTATTTATTTATTTCACAAAGAGAGAGAGCACAAACAAGGGGAGCAGGATAAAGAGAAGCAGACTCCCTGCTTAGCAGGGAAGCAGGGAGCCTGATGTGGAGCTCAATCCCAGGACCCCGAGCTGAAGGCAGACAACCAACTGAGCCACCGAGGCATCCCTCTTTTAACACTTTTAGTTCTCCAAGGAATTCTGTGTTTAATGTTCACAATTAGTTGGGTTTTTGGTTTTTTGTTTTTTGTTTTTTTACCATTGAAACTCACTCTCTACTAGATTTCCCAGGAAGGGTTACAATATTCCTGAGCTTTTTCATAGCAATAGCCTTTACATGTAAAAATCAATTATCTAAACATAAAATTTGGGGCTCACATTTTCTTTCCTCAAGATATTTGATTTTCTTATGATGAAAACCTAATTTTCTTTCCCTTGCAATTTGCCCTTTTTACTTGCTCCTAGTTTCATCAAATATTTCTCTTTCTTGGGGCATCTGGCTGGTTCAGTCAGTTAATCCTGACTTGATTTCAGCTCAGGTCATCATCTCAGGGTTGTGAGATAGAGCCTCACGTTGGGCTCTGCACTGAATGTGGAAACTGCTGAAGATTTTTTCTCTCTTCTTCTCCCTCTGCTCCTTTTTCCCCAACTCACATGCACTCATGCACTCTCTCTCTAATAAAAATAAAATTTTGGGATGACTGGGTAGCTCAGCAGTTGAGTGTCTGCCTTTGGCTCAGGGCGAGATCCTGGAGTCCTGGCATCAAGTCCCACATCGGGCTCCCTGCATGGAGCCTGCTTCTCCCTCTGCCTATGTCTCTGCCTCTCTGTGTCTCTCTTGAATAAATAAGTCTTTAAATCTTTTTTTTTAATTTTTATTTATTTATGATAGTCACAGAGAGAGAGAGAGGCAGAGACACAGGCAGAGGGAGAAGCAGGCTCCACGCACCGGGAGCCCAAGGTGGGATTCGATCCCAGGTCTCCAGGATCGCGCCCTGGGCCAAAGGCAGGCGCCAAACCGCTGCGCCACCCAGGGATCCCAAATAAGTCTTTAAATCTTAAAAAAAGAAGAAAGAAAGAAGAAAGAAAGAAAGAAAGAAAGAAAGAAAGAAAGAGAGAGAGAGAGAGAGAGAGAGAGAGAGAAAGAAAGAAAGAAAGAAAGAAAGAAAGAAAGAAAGAAAGAAAGAAAGAAAGAAAGAAAGAAAGAAAAAACACCACACCCAAATGTCTTATGAGCATCCATGCAAAAATCCTCCACAAAATACTAGCAAACAATTCAGTGGCATATGCAAAGGATTATACACCATGACCGCATGGGATTTATTCCCAGAACGCAAAGATAGTTCAACATACAAAAATGTATTAATGTAATTTACAGCACATCCACAAAAGGAGGGGAAGGAACCACAGGAGCATTTCAATATAGAAAAGGCACTGACAAAACTAATCTAATTTACTAACTGACACCCATTTAAGTTAAAGACACTTAACAAACTAACAATACAAGGAAACTACCTCAACAAAATAAAAGGGGCCTTCTTTTTTTTAATTTTTTTATTTATTTATGATAGTCACAGAGAGAGAGAGTGAGAGGCACAGAGACATAGGCAGAGGGAGAAGCAGGCTCCATGCACCAGGAGCCCGATGTGGGATTCGATCCTGGGTCTCCAGGATCGCGCCCTGGGCCAAAGGCAGGCGCCAAACCGCTGCGCCACCCAGGGATCCCTAAAAGGGGCCTTCTTAATTACATCCCCCTCCAGTCACATGGCAATGAGTTTGGATTTTCTGAGCATACACCAGCTGGCTGGGGGGAGGCAGCCCAGAGGCTGCTGGTTGGGGAAGGGAGGAGAACGGAGAGGGGAGGGAGTCGGGCCAAGATGGAAATTCTGTGTTCTCACAGCAGAGCAATGATGGGGTGCTGACCCCTGCCCTCTGCCCTCTCCTGAAGGGACCCTCTGTCAGCCTCCTGACGGAAAACCATCTTTGTCCTGCTTATAGGCTCAGAGGATTCGGTGTTCACTCAAGCAGCCTGTCCTCTGAGAAACACCACTTTCAGGGTCCAACCCACTGAGCCGGCTGTTAGCGAGTCTGGCACTCGACTTGTCTGCTAGTTTGTTAAGACATCCCGACTTGGGGCGGCCTGGGTGGTTGAGCTCAGTGGTTGAGGGTCTGCCTTAGTCTCAGGTGTGATCCTGGGGTCCTGGGATGGGAATCATCCCTGCATCCAGCTCCCTGCAGGGAGCCTGCTTCTCCCTCTGCCTATGTCTCTGCCTCTCTCTGTGTGTCTAGCATGAATGAATGAATAAATGAATGAATGAATGAAATCTCTAAAAAAAAAGAGAGA